AGTATAATGGGCAAAAGTGTGGAGAGAGTGCTCTTCCACTTGTTGACTCATGAATACCTCGTCCCCTTCCAACCCAGAAGGGAAGCAGCGTCCATTACATTGGTTTAAATTATTCATGTTCAGATAGATTTAGGTTTAATTCTATTTTAAGGTTTATAGCCTGTATGATTTAAATTGTATATTGTATTGTTTTTATCACTCTTCACTGTTTTGAGTCTCTTTAAGGGTAAAAAAACCCAAGTGGTATATAAATAAGTATCATAATAATCATTTTTATCAGGAAACAAAAAAGCAGCAAAGGCACAGGTAAAACAACACAAATAACAAATATCTAGCTGCCCCCCTGAGAAGGTGATAGTACTTTCTCCTCTCTGTAAAATGACCCTTGATGGGTCACACTCAAATACATATTTCTGACCTCCCAAACCTGCTCTCTATTTATATATGAAGTTGACTTAAGTACGATACTTGACACTTGTGGCTTTCCCCCCTTTCTTTGCCTTTTCTCTTCCTTTCCCCCCAATTTGTTTTCCTGCCAACAGAAGAGAGGAACACCTGATGTTGTGACTAAAAACTACCAAAATTTTGTTGCTGTCATTTGCTTCTTGGGAGGATTTGAGTAACTAATTAAAACAATTCATCAGCTTAATAAAAACATGTGCGCCACGTTTCCTCTTGAGAAAGTACTCCTGGAAATTACACACTGTTTGGTTCACACTTCTGAACATTTAGATGAAAAGTCATAAAATGCTGCTGCTTCTCTCTGCATTAATCTTCATATAACGGGAAGAGAAAACCACACCCCGAAGGAGAAGAGTTCTCTCTTTGGTTTTGCAGCTGTCACAGTGTGCACCAGTTTACCTTTCCAGCCAGCTTTGCATAGGAGTGAAAGGAACTAAGGCTAAGGTAGTGAAGGGTGTGCAAAACTTCATTTGTAATTCGCTTTTTGTTTGTGATTCATTAGATTTGTACATACGAAGCGACATTTAGAAACACAAGGGGTGCCTATGCAAAAAACTTAAGATTCGAAACACTGACCTATAATATTTGGATGAGTTATTTAAGTCTCGTAAATAGCCCCACTTCTCCCCCAAAAGGGCTGGGTTCAGTTCCCCCAAAGGGCCCCGAGGAGGATGGTGAGGCCAGAGTGGCGGGAGAAGCCCTGCTCTTTCCCCTTTTGTGGGAGGGAGGAATGCCTGGTTGGATAGCTGGGAATAGCCCCTCTATTCTGCCTTGGTTAGACCACACCTGGAATATTGTGTCCAATTCTGGGCACCACAACGGAAGAGAGATATTGACAAGCTGAATGTGTCCAGAGGAGGGCGACTAAAATGATCAAGGGTCTAGAGAACAAGCCCTATGAGGAGTGGTCTAAAGATCTGGGCATGTTTTGCCTGAAGAAGAGAAGCCTGAGAGGAGACATGATAGCCATGTATAAATATGTCAGAGGAAGTCATAGGGAGGAGAGAGCAAACTTGTTTTCTGCTTCCCTGAAGACTAGGAGGCAATGGAACAATGACTTCAAACTACAAGAAAGGAGAGTCTATCTGAACATTAGGAAGAACTTCCTGACTGTGAGAGCTGTTCAGCAGTGGAACTCTCTGCCCCGGAGTGTGGTAGAGGGTCCTTCTTTAGAAGTTTTAAACAGAGGCTGGATGGCCATCTGTCTGAGGTGCTTTGAAGGCAATTTTCCTCCTTCTTGGCAGAAAGGGGTTGGACTGGATGGCCCATGAGGGCTCTTCCAACTCTATGATTCTATGACTGGAGGAAAGCTCCTCAACATGGAAGATGGAGCGACACCACCCCTTGTGGCTAGAGTTGAGCACAGCCTCCAAGATGCTGGAGACAAGATGGGAAAAACTGCCAATAATAATAATAATAATAATAATAATAATAATAATAATAATCTTTATTTATACCCCGCCACCATCTCCCTGATGTGGACTCAGAGCGGCTTACATGGGGCCAAGCCCGAACAACATATTACATCGAAATAAAACCAAACCATGAACAACAAGCAACATCATCGAAAGGAAAAAAAAAAGATCAATACGATAACAAAATAACATTACAATAAACAAAAAATACAGTTGCAGTAACAGTGGGTGGGCCAGATGTACAGGATAAAAAGTTAAAAACTCTAATGAGATGAAAATAGGAGCAAGTTATTTGCAGGGAGCTCATAAAGACACACTGGGTTGTGAAACTAAACTTCCCATGGGGGGGGGGGGTGTACTCCAGTGACAGAAATGTTAAGGAGAGCAATAGTGTCATGTTTGTGTTTACCTCTGTTTGTGTTGCCTGTCCTTGTTAATTGTATAATCAGCATTGAATGTTTGCCGTATGTGTGTTCTGTAAGCTGCTCTGAGTCCCCTTCGGGGTGAGAAGAGCAGGGTATAAATACTGTAAATAAAAATAGAAGGGCTAGTCGGAACAAAAACTTGAGAAAGAAAAGTTTGAAAAAAAGGAAAAATGTGGGTAAATTCTATTAAATTTTAAAAAGTTACTTGCAAAAAAAGAAAGAAAGAGAGAGAGAGACCCATTCCAAAGTCAAGATGGTTTCCAAGCTCTTTGTTCAGTCGAGATCCCTGGAAACTATTTTCACAAATGATGGGAAGAAGAGTTTTGCACGAGCGATGCTTCTGCAGGAACATGGGCTTTTCTTAAACCTAATACTAATCATATCCAGGGTGTCTTCGGAAGAAGCCAGTTGTCTCTTGGGTGAGTTGCCCCTTGTCTCACAACTCTGATAGTTGTCTGAAGAGTTCTGGAGACTTCCTTGGGAAGTCAAAAGCGGAAACAACAGAGAGACGAACTAAAAAGAACCTCGACGGATCTACGCCTCTCACTATCTGTTTTGTTCCTCGGTGACCGAGATAAGGCTGAGCGGAATGACAGATGTTATCAACTGAGAGACTAGACTCATTTATTAAGAGGAGGAGATACCATCAGGAGACAAGAAGGCTTCAAGGCAAGGCAGCGGAATATAGATAGACAGGAAGGTAGACAAAAATATACCAGCATTGAATAACATCCTGGCTGGATCACACAAACATGCTGCAAGAATCCTACCAGGAGAAAGGTATTTAATACCATTGAAACCAGAGTCTCTGGTAGCAAAGGGATTCTGGGAGTTGCCATCCAAAAAACAAGTTAAACACCAAACTCCATTTCCAACATATTGCAAATGCAAGAATCGAATGCTGCAGCTCCCAAGCTTAAATCAAAGCCATCTCCAAAATTATCTACAATGCATATATTCAAATATAGCTATTCTAAAATCCCCCCAAATCCAAGATACTTCCGACCCCAAGTATTTCAGGTAACAGCAGGAGAGTCAGGGTCTCACACTCCTTATTTTAGATTTTAGGAATGACTTAATGGCACATTTGCTGAGGCATAAATTATGCTCACCTTATGGAGAAAGTCAATCCCACCGTCAACCTGCACATTTGTCCACGAGAGGAAGGTGGTAGAAATTAGGAACATGGGGCACCCTCATCCCCCTATTCTCTAAAATATTCAGTAGCTTATACCACTACATCTTCCTGTTTGTCTCTCAGCTGAAAACTGTCAATTTGAAATGTAGTGAGTGGAAAGCCAGAGAACGGGCTGACGAATGAGGATTGTCTTGGTTTATACTGGGACAAAGGAGCTTGAGACTACTCTCAAGTATTGCAGAAATTGAAAGGAGACCCAAAAAGGAAGGAAAGAGAGAGGAGGATTGCTTCAATGTCAGAAATGTAGGAAATGCTGGAATAAGGCAGGAAATGCTTATTGTGCTGAGTTAAGGAAGGAGGGAGGGAAGGAGGGAAGGAAGGAAGGAAGGAAGGAAGGAAGGAAGGAAGGAAGGGAGGGAGGGAGGGAGGGAGGGAGGGAGGGAAGGGAGGAAGGAGAGGGAAGGAAGGAAAAGGAAGGGGGAGGAGGAAGGAGAAGGAAGGAAGGAGGAAGGAAGGAGGAGGAAGGAGAAGGAAGGGAAGGAAGGAAGGAAGGAAGGAAGGAAGGAAGGGAAGGAAGGAAAGAAAGAAGGAAGGAAAGGGAAAGAGGGAGGGAGGAGGAGATGTGAAGGAAGGAAAGGGAGGGGAAGAGAAGAAAGAGGGAAGGGAAGGAGGGAGGGAGAGAACGGAGGAAGGAAACAAAGAAAGGGAGGGAAGGAGTGAAGGAAGGGAGGGAGGGAGGGGAAAGGGAAGGAAGGAAAAATGGAAGTAAGGAGGGCAGGCAGGCAGGCAGGAAGGAAAGATGGTTGGATGGATGGATGGAAGCAAGGAAGGAAGAAGGGAGGGAGGGATGGAAGGAAAAGAGGGGAAGGGAAAGAAGGAAGTAAAGAAGGAAGGAAAGAAGAAGAGGAAGGGATGGGAGGAAGAAGGAAGGAAGGGAGGAAGGAAGGAAAGGAAGAAAAGAAAAGAAAGAATGGGGGAAGAAATAAAAGAAAGAAAGAAAAAGAAAAAGAAAGAAAGAAAGAAAGAAAGAAAAGAAAGAAAGAAAGAAAGAAAAAGAAAGAAGAAGGTTGGATGGAAGGAAGGGAAGGAAGGAAGGAAGGAAAGGAAGGAAGGAAGGAAGGAAGAAGGAAGAAGGAAGGGGGGAGGGGAGGGGAGGGAGGGATGAGGAAAGAGGGAAGGAAAGAAGGAAGGAAATAAAGATGGAAGGAAGGAGGGAGGGAGGGCTCCAACCATGGATAGCATATGCCCCCTACAAACTACCTTATTAGTATGGTCTTCAGGGGAAATAGTTTTTCAATCCTGCTGGAAATCCTTGCCCTCCCAAAGCTCTGGATGGCAATCTCATCATGTGGGTGTCCATCTCATTTGCTCAACACAGTTGCATCCCTTCCTTTGAGCCCATCTAACAAACCTTCCATCAGGTTCAGTTCCATAGGAGAGGTTGCCTTGCTGGGCTTTGCTCAGAGAAAGCCACTCTCACTCGCCTCTTTCCCTGCACTGCCTAAAGCAACATATGTATGTCTTGCTCCCACAGCTAATAGCAAAACATGATGTGCATACCTGGCTGTGTTTGGAGTGTGGCAAGGGCACCTTTTGTTGCATTTGAGCCCGTAGTATCCCTCCGGACACATCCGCTCCTGGCAATGGATTCCGGTGAAGCCTGGGTCGCACAGGCAGGCCCCGTTGATGTGGTAGCACTTGGCCCTGTTCTCGCAATCACACTTCTGAAGGCACTGGAAGCCAAATGTTCCCACAGGACACTCCTCTTGACACCTGAAAGAAGTATTGGGAGCCATTAGGAACAGTGTGGTGGATGGTCATCTGTCAGGAGGGCTTTGAATGCAAATTTCCTGCTTCTTGGCAGGGGGTTGGACTGGATGGCCCATGAGGTCTCTTCCAACTCGATGATTCTATGATTCTATGATCAGGTGATGGATTGTGTGTAAGAGACCATCAAGTAATACGCATAAGAGGAGGCCCACAGCACAGCGGTACAGGAAATGTGTTGCATGCAAATAACCCAAGTTCAGACCCTGCCATCTCCAAGAAGAACTTGCATTCTTACTTCTCAGAGAACTGTTTGCAGTCAGGGTTGACTACACTGACTTTGTTGGATGCAAGGATGGACTGGCTTACTCTAATGTCCCTAGCTCAGAGGAAGAGCCCAGATGCTACAGGCCAAAAGCCTATCTAGTCTAGACTCGTTTCCACACCATCGTTCCTTCAATGACCAATAAAATGGCCCATATTCATGATGACAACTCCTGCTAACTTGCGGAGTGATTTTGTTGCTCTTACAATGTTCGCCGTGTCAGTTTCCAATGGTGCATAAGATTGCCCTGTAATCGTAGCAATCCAGTATGTGAGCATTTTCGTGTGCGTTTTCATGCACAATGCATCTTTTAAATGATAGATTTTGAAGAAAGCCGTCGCTAGCAACCTGGAAAGGGAAACCGGGGCCTTCCATGTTGCAACTGTTTGTTTGCATGTCCCACTTATGTTGCCATTGAAACCATAGTTTTGATAAAGGAGCCTGCATTCACACATTAGGGTGGCCACGAGAAAGAAATCCATCATGACTCCCTCTGCAAGAAAACCACTTGACAGATTTGTGCTTAAACCTCTTCTGATTTGCGAAAGAGGCCGGGCGTCCTGCAAGAAGCTCATGCCTTTGTCAGTACGACCTGCCACAAAAGACCCCTCTGCCGCCTTGCAAATAAACCTCTTATCGGGAGGGCAGCAGGGACTGGGAATTGCCCAATCAGCATTGGTTTAATCCCAGCCTTGATTAAGATGTTTACTGCAACCACCCGAGGAGAGTGATCGGCACCTTTTTGTGTGTGTCATTTTGCAGACGACGCAGGAGAGAGTTAAAATATGATGATGAGGAGAAAGGATTGAAACAGGCATCGTTGGCACTAAGAACCGAGGGGCGGAGAGGTGGGGGAGGGGGGAAACAGTAATGAAATTGTCTGATGTGAAATGGAAAGTGCTTGTGCCGTTGCGGGTTCAATCTATCTCATTTTTCCAGGGGGAAAAAAAAGAACTGTAATAAACTTCAACATTGACCATTGCTCTATATACATCTATTGGGAAATGATTCCAAAACTTTTGCAATTATTTCTATTACATACAAATGGCCTTAATGTTAAGAGTCCAGCAGGATTGCTCCCTTGGGCATCTACCAGAAAGCAGGTACAGTAGGGTTGCACCCCAGGCCTGGAGCCACCTATGACCACAGCATCACACAAGAGTCCAACGTATATCTATATAAATAAAAATGTAATGTTCATTTGTGGGATTAACATAATTCATAAACCACTGAACGAATTGACACCAAATTTGGACAGCATACACGTAACAACCCAATGTATGTCCTTCACCCATACTGCTGGGATTTATAGTTCACCTACAATCAAATAGCATGATAGAATTGAACCAACATACAGGACTCCCATGGCCAACAGAAAACACTAGAAGGGTTTGGGGTTTTGTTTTGTTTTTTGTTGTGTCAGGAGCAAGTTGCTTCTGGTGTGAGAGAATCGGCTGTCTGCAAGAACGTTGCCCAGGGGACGCCTGGATGATTTGATGTTTTTATCATTCTTGTGGGAGGCTTCTCTCATGTCCCCGCATGAGGAGCTGGAGCTGATAGAGGGAGCTCATCCACCTCTCCCCGGATTCGAACCTGCAACCTGTCGGTCTTCAGTCCTGCTGGCACAGGGGTTTAACCCACTGCGCCACCAGGGGCTTGGTGAGCACTGACCTTGAGTTTGGGAGTTGTAGTTCATATTTGGCCATATGGAAAATATTTATGCTTTTCTTATTGAGGGCACTGTGCTGTGCCGGTTGTTAGCTGCCGTGAGTCCCTCTGCGGAGGTGAGATAGGACAGGATATAGTTGCCCTAAATAAATAAATAAATGAATAATAACTTACAAATTGTCACTCAGCCTAAGTCGTAAGTCACTTTTGACTTACAAACAGTCCAAAAGAGGCCCCCTTGCCCCCTAAACCAGTTCTAACAGCAAGGCAGAGAGAAACAAAACCTGGACTAGATTCCTAGCCAGAGCAGATCTGGCTCTTTCTACAAGGCAAAAGCTCCAACTCCATGTGATTGTTTCCCCTGAACATTCTGGGAGGAGTCCACCCTAGTGAAGCAGCGTCTTAGTCTAAACAGGGAGTACAGGGCTTCCAGAAGACTGGAGCAGGCATTGTACCTCATAGTTCAGTGCCTCAGCCTGCATGCTTTTGCCTGCGTGCTCTTCTCCACTTTGGGAGACTGCTCTCCACTGAAGAAGTTTGGGTTAGTTTACTGTGTGCTTTTTATTCCTGGTACTGTACGTTTCACTTCAAGAAGACAGAGGTGGAGAGAGAGCAAGAGAGGGAGGGAAGGAGACTGGAATTACAGTGTGAAGAAAATGCTGTTTTGCCTTGCTGTTACACAGGCCAACACACATTTTGTTGCCTCAAATGTGCTTCCTTGCCACAGTGGCTGATTGGAACCAAGCACTGACTATTTCTGAACATTTTATTTGCTGTTTATAAAGTACATTTTCTTATTTCAAAACAAAAAAAAAGTGTTTTTTGGGTGCCGGAACGGATTAAAAGCATTTCATTGCATTTCTTTTCTCTTTTTTTTTGCATTTTATTTTTGCATTTCAGTGCATTTTAATGAGAAAATTTGCTTTGAGACAAGACTCTTTTGACTTAAGAACACAGTCATGGAACGAATTACATTCTTAAGTCAAGGTATCACTGTACATCCAAAAACACTTCTGCCCCAGAGAGCTACTTTACTAAGGCAAGGATTTGTGCCTTTCTATAACACCGGTGGGATTTTATATTTTTTAATGCATTAACCCACATATCTGGAATGAAAAGTGGAATTGAATCAGAAGCCAGCATTCTTGCTTCTGCCCCCCAAAAAACATGCAAATTGGCTCTTCAACTGTGTCTGGGATTGGCTCCATTTCCTTGATTGTATTGCATAAGCGTCCTTGACCCAAAACATGGCAAAGCTTGTAGATCATTTACAATGGCCGCCAATGAATTGTTTGTTTTGGTGCAATTCAGCCAAGTGTTGTTCATTGCAAATGACCATGTGCACCTCCAAGATCCATTGAGGCAACAGGCTTTGCTTCCTTTTGTGTAACCTTGAAAGTATGCAACAGCATAGTTGCACGGAAGGAAAGCCAATGGCCGTCTCCTTTCACTGCCTCTCTGCTGATGGCAAATCCCTGGCATTCCTCCTTCTTTCTGAAGAGTTGGCAACTCCTCCGAACACACTGAAATGGAAACAGGTTTGCTTTCTGAGCCCAGTGAGTGGAAATAGTACAATACTCTGCAAGATGAATCGGCAGCCAATAGCCCACTATATCACCTCATATTTATGGGAGATAAAGGCATGATATAGCAGAGCAAAAAAGAGCACAGAGAAATGAAATGTCAATGACCTCATCCATTTACATAATTAGCCGCCTTCTCCGTCTTACCGCCCTCCCACACTTGGCAGGTTACAGCTTATTTATGGGGACAGCAACCCCCACCACCACAAATGAATATGATGCAATGCAAAACCAATACTGGATGGCAAGGATCCCTGCCATTGGAATGACCAACGAGGTGGACACATTCCACTTTGTTGACAAGCTGCAATGTGTCCAGAGAAGGATGACTAAAATGATCAAGGGTCTGGAGAACAAGCCCTATGAGGAGCAGTTTAAGGAGTTAGGCATGTTTAGCCTTCAAAAGAGAAGACTGAGGAGAGACATGATGGCTATGTGTAAATATGTGAAGGAAAGTCATAGGGAGCGTCATACAGGGATACAGGGAGCATACCACCCCCCTGCTATGTCAGCTCCACTGGCTGCCGATCCAGTTCCGAGCACAATTCAAAGGTCCATTGAGTGCAGAAGCTTCATCACATGCTGGAGATCATGCAGAACTGCGTGGAGCTCCTCAAACTTGAGCAGGATGTGATGAAATGCAAAACCAACTTGAGTATTGGTTTTGCATTGCATCACATTCATTTGCAAGGGGTGGGGGGTGGGGAGTTGCTGTCCCCATAAATAAGTTGTAACCTGCCAAGTGTGGGAGGGCGGTAAGACGGAGAAGGCAGCTAATTATGTGAATGGATGAGGTCATTGACGTTTAATTTCTCGGTGCTCTTTTTGCTCTGCCCTATAACGTTCCAGCCCAGCGTACCTGTCCAAACATATCTCCCTCTACGTCCCACCTCAGAGTTTAAGATCCTCTGGGGAGGCCCTGCTCTCGGTCCCGCCTCTGTAGCACACGCGCTTGGCAGGTTACAACTTATTTATGGGGACGAGGGGCAGGGCCTTCTCGATGGTGGCCCCTCACCTGTGGAATTCGCTCCCCAGCGAAATTAGGTTATCCACATCTCTCCTTTCCTTCAGACAGAAGTTAAAAACATGGTTGTGAGACCAGGGCTTCGGATAATACGCTGACAATGACAATGGGAATGATGACAATTAGCTATGGAAATGGACTATGAACAAGCTTCTGATAGAGTCTCTGGTCACAGAATTCGGCTTAGATTAGGCCACCAGACTGTAATGTTTTAAAGAGTTTTTAAATGTTTTATTTATATGTAATTATTGTGTTTTATTATGTGTATATAGAGGCATCGAATCATTGCCAGCTGTAAGCCACCCTGAGTCCCCCCTCGGGGGTTGCGAAGGGCGGGGTATAAATATTTGAAATAAATAATTAATTAATAGGGAGGAGGAAAGCTTGTTTTCTGCTGCCCTGGAGA